ATTTACATATATACGTATTGTGGATCCACTGACTTATTGGAGATTGTTGACAAGAGGCTTGGCTTGGTAATCATTTATAGTTACACCATACCATGCTCTAATTTCATTAAAAGGAAATCTTAAAAGTATATATTTTTATTCATCAGCATTTAGTCAAAACAAGTAAGCACTAAATAGATACGCAGAATAGAATTTCTTTATCTTTGTGAAAAATATAATCACTCAAAAGAAATGTAACAGTGCGTGGATTCCAGTGTAACCATAAAGTTTAACATATGTTATATAATGGGATTACACTTTCATAAGTTAAAGATATGTTGATATCTTTTCAGTTCCAAAGAAAAGACCCAGTTTTTCTCTCCCGCACTGCCAGTCGTTTGTTTCAAGGAGACAAGGAATCGTCTGGAATGGACGGCAGTTTCTCATCAGGTTAGTCGTCCAAAATACTTCACTTCATAGGTTTCATTTTAACGACTTCAGTTTGATCTGTCCCATTGCTATCCATCATATATCAATAATGAACCATATTTAATTATTGTAATTTGTTTTGATTGGCATTTAGAAGTTGGTGACAAATAAGAAAGTAAGAGAGTTTATCGATAACAACTTCTTTATTATATATGATGCAGAGCAGAACGGTATGGATTTTTTATACCGTTGTCAAGCAAGAGTGTAAATATTGTACATACCAGATATGTAACTGTAACTGAAAGTGAATAAGTTGTGTTACACATTTTACAGTTTTTAAATTAAAATTAAAGGTCACATAAAAAATAATATTTTATGTTACTATATTGCTAAGGAACGTTTCCTTAGAGGGTTGATAAAACTAAGAAATACCCACGATTTTTCATTCATGGGAAATGTTAGGTTTTGTATGCTTTTCTCAGTTGATTACGGTAGAACTTTCAATTTGAATAAGATCACATATATAATTAGGTGTTACATTCAGTAACATAATTACATAATTCGTATCAATTTAAAATATGTATGTACCGTTTTACCTATGAAAGTTCGATTTCCATTTGGCGATTTGGTAGTAAGATGTTACCTTGAATATGAGTACAGTAACAGTAATAAATATTACAACAATTTGCTTCAAGAATACTGGGTTGGCTACTATTTTCTGGTTTTAATCAATGAAATAAGTGACATGTCCAAATGGAAGATACAATATATATGTATACTACATATCTTTTCCTTTGTGATTGTGAAAAAATATTTTGGTTACATATACAAATTAGTCGTTCTAATTTTATAATTTCATTGTGATCAGATGTACCACTGTGCATGTTTATGAATATGTATAAATGTGTTACTTTGGCTGTTTGTTTGCAGTTTTACTTCAAGCATTGTATGTATTGTATTTGCAGGATGATGAAAGAGTCTGTGTGGGATGATAAGGATGGCAACGATGTTGTGCCAGATATCAACCAGGACTCTTCATATTCACCCACAAATCTTAAGTAGAGCATACACCATCTGTTTGCGGTTGTGGACTGGTTCAAGCCTTGTTGTAATCAGCTTGGTTATATTTCCCCTTTCTCTGTGTGTGTGGCAAAAACTGAGGCTCAACTCAAGGCTCTAGCGTCATATGTACCACATCAGGTGATTGTTGGTTGCTCAGTGTGAGTGCAACAGAAGCTTCATGGTTGTAAGCAAGTTGCCAAGTCTTTACTATGTGAGATTGTTGAGTGTGTATATGTTAAGATACGATTGAGACAGCTTCAAATGTACACTTCATGCATATGTATATGGGCCCATGACCTTTCATACAATAAACATTTGAATTTGATTTTGAAATCTGTTTTATAATACCACAGCAAATATGTTATGCCTGCACTAGTAGACCTCATTTCATCATATGCATAAAATGTTGTAGGGTTTTGACATATTTGTATTTGCATATTCATACAGAATTTGTTTTCTCCAATGCTGAAAATTCCCTTTTGATATGGGCATACATACATACATACATACATACATACATACATACATACATACATACATACATACATACACACACACACACACACACACACACACACACACACACACACACACACACACACACACACACACACACACACACACACACATACATACATACATACATACACATTGTTGAGTACTGTTGTAATGTGAGCTATTCACAATAATGAAACAGATAAATCATAACAGTGCATGTGTCACTGTGTTTGTTGTTTTTCGCGTACAATGTAATAAATGGTACATTCACAAGTTATGCAGAATGGTATTGAGTGAGTTGCATAGTCACATCGGTAGCCATATCGTGACTATGAAAGTCGTAACTCTAAATTTGTAAATGTGTACATGAAATAAAAACAAACTTATATACTTACCTGTCTTCGAAGGACAGTAAAATAACTAATCTATCACAAATGTACACTAAAAACTGGCATGTAACTATAAACACTTCACCGGTACAGTATAAAAATGAGCTATAGATTGCCAACACCTGAAGGTTGATCAACATACTAAAGACAAAATTATCTGAATAATGTTCTTGATTCTCATATAATGTAATTTTATTACCATTTCCCGCATTCTTTGGACTTGTGGCAGCGTCTGATTAAAAGATTTTTGTATGACGAGGCGGTACGTGTTAGGTTCGAGACGGCGGTGTTCGAATGAAACAATCAGTTTTTTTGCTGGGTCGGCAATAAAATTAGAACGGTCGGTCGGTCGATGAGAAACTGCAATGCTAAATATGGCACACCACTGTCCCCCCACTGTACAATGTTAACACTTGGAACATATACTCAGCAGCGAAAAAAAACGTCAGTACAAAATTAGATAGGCTCTGTTATCAAATTTTTACAGAAATGGACATAAGAAGCGGATCAAAAACATGTTTGTGCACAATATCTTAACACATCAATGAATAACTCAATACATTACGTGAACGTTTGCAGTCCATTCAGACCCTTGACTTCAGTATCTAGTGTAACCACTACGAGCGGCAATAACTGCAGCACCACGTCTATGCATGGAGTGCACCAATCGATTGATGAAGGCCATTGGCTCCTTGAACCACACTCTGAGAAAGGGCTGGCGCAATAAATCGGCTGTGTTCGGCCTTCGTATGACATTATTCAGTCTCCTCTGATTTTCAGTTGGGTTTAAATCAGGACTAAGGGCTGGCCACTGCATAATGTTGACACCGTTCTGCTGTAGGAAGTCCCATGTAGCTCTGTTAGTATGGGCCCGGGCGTTATGATGCTGGACAATATTTTTCCGGTGACGTGCGAAATGTGGTATGATCTGGGGTCTGAGAGATTGGTCGATGTAGCGCACTGCTGTGATGCCGCCTCCTCTCCCTCGACCAAGGTTCTCGAACACCACAGGACCCACTCTCTGGTTCAGGCCTATTCCACCCCATACCATGATGCTTGCATCTCCCATCACTTTCCATAACACATTGGTCTGAGTAACGCTGGCCAAGTAGTTGCCATATTCTTGTTCTGCCATCTGCAGTTGATACGCAGTACCGACTCTCATCTGTGAACAGAACAGTTCTCCATTGCCTGTATCGCCAGTTTTGGTGTTGTAGGGCAAACTGTAGACGTTCACGTCGACGACGAGGGGTGAGGATAGGTCCACGGTAAGGTCTACGGCAATGGAGGTTCCCGCTGTTAAGACGTCGGCGTACTGTATCAGTACTGATTGGTCTTCCGTGTGTTCCCACTGTCTGGCGTGCTGTTTGGGATGCCCGCATAAAGGGATTCTGTACATGCTGTCGCACAACATGGCGGTCTTGTCGTCTTGTGGCCACCCTTGGTCTGCCAGTACAGGGGCGATTATTTGTGGTGTTGGTGGCGCGGAAACGTTGCTGCAGCCTGTAGATGGTCCGAACGTTGACCCGGAAATGATTGGCAACGGTTTGTGCAGTGTGGCCAGCTTCAAGTCTTCCTAGCGCCTGGTTCCTCTGAGCTGTCGTGAGTCGCGGCATCCTGCTGACGTTGTAATGTGAATGTTTCAACCAGGTTTGGGGGTGCATTTTATTGGGCTGGTCCATGTGAACAGCACGTACAGCATGAGTTGCATGAAAAACATGGAGAACATCGTGCCATCTTCGAGATCAGGTTGCGTTTTTGAGACCATTTCCTGGGTTCCATTCTGAGTTTGGGAAGGAATGTCTTGGCTCAGGTTAAGTTGGAGATGTCAAAAATATACAATCAAAACATTAAATGAGTTTACAGTTATCCGTTTCTGCGAAGGAAAATTCCAAACAGACGTTTCTTTTGCTGCTTAGTATAGTTACACAAAGATTACCAATGTACCATCATCATATATGTGCTAATTACCAGCTCACAAATTCACAAATACATCATTCCTGTTGTGTTTCCATAAACGCATGATTTGTACATGCTGTCGCTTCGACACAATTTCTAATAATAGAAATAAGAAAAGAATTAGAAATAAGGTGAGAGCATTTCCAGGTATTTACTGGTTCTGTCTGTTCCCAGATTGACATACTTGGCCACGAACTAAAGGACTGCACGATGGGTAAGTTGTGGCAACAGCTGAGACAGGCGTCCGAGTTCGACAAACGACGGGGAGAGGTCGACACCTTCAACAAGGTATGTCACAGTGTGCACTTCATGGTTCCTTGCAGTAAGATACCAAGATATTCACACACGCACGCACACACACACACACACACACACACAAACACACACACACAAGCTTGTACGTCTAATCAAATGTCTAAACTCCATGTGTATATTACTATAGGGACGACACAAGGTGATAGTAAAATGGTCTGTAGGCATAAAGGAAGTACTTATTGACACAACGCACCTGGTTCGACTTGGAATTTACGTCACAAGACAAATTATGATCTGTAACTGTAATACCAGAAGATCTGAAGATAAAGGTGAAACGAGTCGTGCCAATAAGCATCTATTTTCTTATTACACTCACACACAGGCTTGGGGCGGTCAGGCTAGCTGATATGATTAATGTATGTCATCGTATCCCACTTGCGTGGACTGATGGCCATTATGTCGACTCTAGATTGTCTAGTCCACACAGGTTCTTGTGGTCTTCAGGGAAACCTCTGGAAGAAACGAGGCATCACCATGACACCAGCCAAATACGGATTCTTCTACATGGGTGCCGGCGTGTCTGTAGACGTTGCCATATACAGCAGAGATGGCACTGTCACCGTCTCCCAAGGGGGCGTGGAGATGGGACAGGGACTCTACACAAAGGTAACAATATAATCTCACATCCAGTCACGCCACGTCCAATCACGTGACCTTAAGCACACATTCACACAGTCTTCGAATGACATTAAGAAGTGAGACATTGGTAAAATCCTCCCGACCCCATCAAAACAAAGTCTGACAACATCCAATGTACATTGTAATGTACATCTGTCAACAAACTCGATCAGAAAATCGCTATTTCCGAACACACAGCAAGAGCAATTATCATATTGTCATGTCGGAATCTTCCAGCATCCTTTCCCAACAACAACTGGCGTGGATGGAAGAGGCCATAGACATGATTAGATTCCAGCCAGCCATGAACCGTGGCTGAGGAACGTTATCTGCCCTTGGGACTTATTGATGTAATTATCTCTGTCCCCATCGAAATCCGACATGTGTAGGTGATGGTGCTGGGTTTGGTTCTGGGTTTGTTATCTCGGATGGCGGCACTGATAGTTTTGTAGTCTGTCTCACAGCCCCTGAACCCTGAACCCAGTATCTGCTCGTATACGCGTGAGTGAGAATACAGTGTGAATGCGTATCGTTTTTTAACTATTACATTGTCATTTGTGTCATATGTATTTCCTTCAGATGCAGATGGCAGTGTGATAAAAAAATTAGGTCTTGCACATAGTAGTTTGACGTGTTCGTGACTAACAGGGGACTAACAGGCCCGGTTGGTCCGGCTCGGTGGCCTGGTAGCCTGGTGGCCTGGTGGCCTGGTGGCCTGTTGGCCTGGTGGCTCAGTGGCCTGATAGCCTGGTGGCCTGGTCGCCTGGTCGCCTGAGAAATGCATGCCATCCACTCACAGCTGCGTAGCTCGATGCATGTTATGTCAGTTTTTGGATTAGTCCCGAAACGTATATTTCCAGACCGGTGTGAGATAGCTGGGATAGTGTTCAATGCAGTGTTATACAAAACAGGCATGCTATAAAGCATTACTCTTCTGAGTGCATGTAAACTTGTAAGGCGAATTGTAATGCCAGATATCACATCATCTATGAGAATATGATATATATGTCCTGCATTAACCCGACGTTGTTGTTGTTGCAGGTGCTGCAGGCGGTGGCAAGCACCCTGGGTATACCCCTCAACATGGTGCGAATGCGACATGTCAACTCCCACTTGGCCGCCAACAACACCGTCACAGGTGGGAGTGTTTCCAGCGAGCACGCCGTCCAGGTAAGTCTCACACAACCAATTCTGGTTTGGTTAAGACTGCAGATTCCAGATCACAATAGAAACTGGATTGTCATTAACCTTTAGATAAAGGTTTAGATATGTGCTTTTATAAAGGGAATAGTAGGCCTACCTGATGTTTAGTATACCATTTGTATGCCACTGTCAAATCAGAGTTCGTTTTTGATTCAGTTCAGTTTATTGCCCGACGTCCCCGTAGACAGCACACATTGTTTCAACATACTGAAGATGCACCGTCAAAACAAAGTCTAAACTTTTTTAATCTATTTAAAAGCTATTATCTATTTATAATACGCCATAGAGAAACATGGAATGGGTTGACGAGTCATGTATACCTTTCAGTCCGCCATAACCTGTTGTGAGACACTGAATGAAAGGTTGCAGCCATTCCGGACCAAGCATCCCGACTACGACTGGAAAAACATCATCGGCGTGGCCAGCCTCGCCAACGTTGATCTCACTGCGAAGCACAAGTACGTCGGCAATATATACCTAGGACGATGTAAACCCTTTAACACATGCTGACATGTAAACAACCCTCTAACACATGCTGACATATAAACATCCCCTCTAACACATGCTGACATATAAACATCCCCTCTAACACATGCTGACATATAAACATCCCCTCTAACACATGCTGACATATAAACAACCCCTCTAACACATGCTGACATATAAACATCCCCTCTAACACATGCTGACATGTAAACATCCCCCTCTAACACATGCTGACATGTAAACATCTAAACATGACATGTAAACAACCCTCTAACACATGCTGACATGTAAACATCCCCTCTAACACTGCTGACATGTAAACAACACATGCTGACATGTAAACAATCCCTCTAACACATGCTGACATGTAAAACCCCTCTAACACATGCTCTAACACATGCTGACACATAAACAACCCTCTAACACATGCTGACATGTAAACAACCCCTCTAACACATGCTGACATGTAAACAACCCCCTCTAACACATGCTGACATACCCTCTAAACATGCTGACATGTAAACATCCCTCTAACACATGCTGACATGTAAACAACCCCTCTAACACATGCTGACATATAAACATCCCTCTAACACATGCATGACATGTAAACAACCCCTCTAACACATGCTGACATGTAAACATCCCCCTCTAACACATGCTGACATGTAAACAACCCCTCTAACACATGCTGACATGTAAACAACCCTCTAACACATGCTGACATGTAAACAACCCTCTAACACATGCTGACATGTAAACAACCCCTCTAACACATGCTGACATGTAAACAACCCTCTAACACATGCTGACATGTAAACAACCCCTCTAACACATGCTGACATGTAAACAACCCCTCTAACACATGCTGACATGTAAACAACCCCCTCTAACACATGCTGACATGTAAACAACCCTCTAACACATGCTGACATGTAAACAACCCTCTAACACATGCTGACATGTAAACATCCCCCTCTAACACATGCTGACATATAAACATCCCCCTCTAACACATGCTGACATGTAAACATCCCCTCTAACACATGCTGACATGTAAACAACCCCTCTAACACATGCTGACATGTAAACAACCCCTCTAACACATGCTGACATGTAAACAACCCCTCTAACACATGCTGACATGTAAACAACCCCTCTAACACATGCTGACATGTAAACAACCCCTCTAACACATGCTGACATGTAAACATCCCCTCTAACACATGCTGACATGTAAACACCCCTCTAACACATGCTGACATATAAACATCCCCTCTAACACATGCTGACATGTAAACATCCCCTCTAACACATGCTGACATGTAAACAACCCCTCTAACACATGCTGACATGTAAACAACCCCTCTAACACATGCTGACATGTAAACAACCCCTCTAACACATGCTGACATGTAAACAACCCCTCTAACACATGCTGACATGTAAACAACCCCCTCTAACACATGCTGACATGTAAACAACCCCTCTAACACATGCTGACATGTAAACAACCCTCTAACACATGCTGACATGTAAACAACCCCTCTAACACATGCTGACATGTAAACAACCCTGTAAACAACCCCTCTAACACATGCTGACATGTAAACAGCCCCCTCTAACACATGCTGACATGTAAAAACCCTCTAACACCTCTAACACATGCTGACATGTAAACAACCCTCTAACACATGCTGACATGTAAACAACCCCTCTAACACATGCTGACATGTAAACAACCCCCTCTAACACATAACACTGACATATAAACATCCCTCTAACACATGCTGACAATGCTGACATGTAAACAACCCCTCTAACACATGCTGACATGTAAACATGCTGGTATGTAAACCCCTCTAACACATGCTGACATGTAAACAACCCCTCTGAACACATAACACATGCTGACATGTAAACAACCCCTCTCTAACACATGCTGACATGTAAACAACCCCTCTAACACATGCTGATAAACATCCCCTGTAAACATGCTGACATGTAAACAACCCTCTAACACATGCTGACATGTAAACAACCCTCTAACACATGCTGACATGTAAACAACCCTCTAACACATGCTGACATGTAAACAACCCCTCTAACACATGCTGACATGTAAACAACCCCCTCTAACACATGCTGACATGTAAACAACCCCCTCTAACACATGCTGACATGTAAACAACCCCTCTAACACATGCTGACATGTAAACAACCCCTCTAACACATGCTGACATGTAAACAACCCTCTAACACATGCTGACATGTAAACAACCCTCTAAACACATGCTGACATGTAAACATCCCCTCTAACACATGCTGACATGTAAACAACCCCTCTAACACATGCTGACATGTAAACAACCCCTCTAACACATCGTGACATGTAAACATCCCCTCTAACACATGCTGACATGTCAACAACCCCTCTAACACCCAGTAAAATAATGAACTACAGTACTGTCACTGACTTTGATATGATTGTCCAACAGTGTCAACGTACATGAAAATACGATTGTGCTAACCCCACCAGCTCCTTCTCCAGGTTTGTCCCCAAGAAACATGACGGTCCTGGAATGTTCCACTACTTCTCCTACTCGGCGGCAGTCACGGAAGTGGAGCTGGATGTTCTCACCGGGCAGAGTCAGATACGGAGAGTTGATATCCTGTTTGACTGCGGGGAAAGGTGCGTTACAGTGAAAGCAGTATCATTGTTGCCAGCTTCAAGCGGATATCATCAGTGACCGTGGCAAGTTGAAAACGGGAGATAAAATGGGCGTGGCGTGAGTGGGGCGTGGGCGTGGGCGTTGGTGGATGTTTGGATAGGGCATGGATGTGGCGTGGGTTTGGTGGGGCATGGTTCGGGGCGTTTCGTGGGTGTGGTGGGGCGTGGATGAGGGCGTGGGTGTGGGTGGCTGTGTGTGGGGATGGACAAGGGCGTTGGCAGGGGCGTGTCTGTGAAGTGCAAGGGTATGGTTGTGGCATTAGATTGTGGTGGGAATATGGCAGAATTATTACTATTATTATATGATACTTATATAGCGCACATATCCAGGCAACTAGTGCTTGCTCAAGGCGCTAATATTTTTTTCCCTCGATCATTGGATGTCAATCTCAATGGCACATCGTATTATCAATCTCAACTCCCTGGGGAGTATACAACTCTTGCAGCCACTAGGCGCACCGAGTTATTGTGGCTTTCTCATCCTAACGAGGTACCCATTCACAGCTGGGTGGACTGGGACACATAGTCACAGTACTTTGTCCAAGTTCACTGCACGTTGCTGTACCCGCAACTAGGTGTTTGCACGTATTCATGTGGCCACCATCTGGTCATATACCAACGGATTCGTGGGTTCTTTTAAGTGCACAGGGTTGTGTACTGTACACTAGGGGTTGTGACAACACTGAAAGAGTGTGCACACAAAGTTGACTCCAAGGTTTTTACACCCGGTCACAGGTGGGCTCGATCCCGACACCTCAACCTCGCTGGATCACTAGCCAGGCGCCTTAGCCAGCTCACTCAGCTCGCCCACCGCACCCCTTCAGAATGGGGTAGATACTCTTGTATACTGTTTAAGGAAGGACATGTGAAATTTGGTTTGTCAGTGCAGTGTATCCCATAAGCAAAGCAATTACAGGAAATCCTGACTCTACTTCAGATAGAAATATCCAGTGGCCTGTGAAACTCCTGCATGCATCATTTCAAAGTGTATTCATTCAGTAGAACTGTATGACTTTGTACAGAGTTCAGTGTTTTGTTATATTTCAGTCTGAACCCAACCATTGACATTGGTCAGATAGAAGGTGCATACCTGATGGGTGTAGGGGGGTTCATGTTTGAGGAAGTGAAGCACGACTCGAAGACAGGGGGCGTGCTGAACGATGGCACCTGGGTAAGTAGGCCAAAATAATCTCCTGTCGCTCTACAACACTTACTTTCAAATACGACGTGGCAATTACGAAATGTGTTGAATTATATCTTCACTCAGAAAACCAAAAGCGAACGCCGTTCAGGCTTGAGAGGTTGAGAGCTGAGAAATTAAGGCATATCCACGAGAGGCGTATGTTCCTTCTGACACGACCAGTTCTTTATCAAGTATTGTTCTATATGACATGACTGGTAGTTATTTAGGATGAGATGTACGGATTCATACAGTTAGCACGGTTTAATGGATTCCCACCTCACTGAAACCAAACATGATACAGAGTCAGCCCTCAGAAGTTTGTTATAATATCAATATCAGGTCTGTATATGTGCGTTTCAGGAAGGGTCTGGGATTCATGGATAGTATGTTTGCAATGACAGTGTAAATCAACAGTTCGACATCAGTTATCGCAAAACAATACCCTGCTAAAATTATTGTCCAAACATGAACACAGGAATACTGCAGTACGACATTGTTTGTATTTTTCATTAACACAGCAGAGTCAACGTAAGCATGCCAAGACAGCCAAAGGCCACAGAGTTGAGTTGAGTTGGGTTTGACGCCGCTTGTTGCAATATTCCAGCAATATCACGGCGGGGGCATCAGAAATGAAATGCCATAGAATCTTGCAATATATGAAAATAAGAAAACGGCATCTTTATAAGCATACCGCTCGAAATAACAATACTTCTTCACTTTTATGTTCTTATTTTTCGTTAGGAATACAAACCTCCTCTGGCTAAAGATGTCCCTATAGACTGGAGGATCAAGCTGTTGGCGGATGCTCGTAACCCGCTCGGAATCAGAGGGTCAAAAGGTGAGACAGACCAAGAGAAGTGCTGGGCAGGGACAAGCGGCTTACAAACTGCCATAAGTTAAGGGAAATGACAGGCGGTCTTAATCGAACCATATGCTCTAGTCTCGGGCTCGATTCCTAGAATCGACTTCCTGACGATCCTGTGATTTGTTAGAATCAGCAACGCTCAGTTCATGAATGCGTTAAGCTTGTGCGACCTACGTGTTCCTTGGTAGTTCACTGAATTCTACCCGACATGATGGATACCAAGCCATTCGCCATGTTTGTTTCATGCTGGTATGACGTAGCTGAACCACTTCTGGGTGTAAGTGAAGAGTCACGCAGTACTGTTTCCTTTCACAGCGTCTGGTGAGCCCCCCATCGTACTGTCATCCGGGGTGTTCTATTCTCTCAAACAGGCCATGGAGGCAGCCCACCTCGACAATACCGGTTCCTCTGAATTCCAGCCATCAGGTAAATCCATATGTCGCTCTATAATCACATTCAAATGGATGAAACATCGACTGGAATATTCATTCAATGAAACAACAGCATTCTTCCCAACGTATCACTCAATAACTATGAATACACAATACCTGTTTGCAAGTACATATGATATAGTTGGGATTTGGGATTAAAACTTAGTAAAAACATACTCAAATACTTTTTGTGGTTGAGTCCCATCGGGGATTTGAGCCCACACTCTTAAAGTGAGGCACCTAATGGCCAGCACACAAACCTGATCCACATCAGCCCCCTGTATTATGTAAGAAGAACACTGAATTTCCATGTTTGAAAGATTCGCTCCACAATTAGGTTCAAATAGGAGGAGCACGCCTTAAATAGAAACATGATTTGGACAATTTGCTTTGCATTTAATGCATTCCAACTGTTTCAGTGGCGCCGTTGACCGTGGAGAGACTGCGCCTGGGCTGCGGCTTCAACATGGCCAAGATGACGCTGTAGATGAAGGAGGAGTCAACGATCGGAAACTACCCTCAGAATAGCACAGCTGGATTGGGCCAACATACTTAACCTTGTTTAACAGATTGTCCGAGTTGGACATTAACTGTATTCCGTAGCGTAAAGAACGTCTCACAGACAGACGCGTAGTAGATCTTTCCCGGAACAAATTTTAACACGACATACCTTAACAACTGCATATTCGGTAACAAATACTATTGAACGTACTAAAGATAGAAAAACAACAACAACCAAATATGATTGTGTAAAGTGAAAGGACAATAACACAGCACCGAGAGCACCGCGAACGTATCCAGTGCCTACTTATGTATACTTAGTGTTAGAGTAGTCAGGGTACATTGATAAAGAAACGAAATCATCTCATGTCCAATGCGTATTGAGTAATGCGCACATGCACAGGCTGTTTAAAAGTGTCTACTGGAATAAAATATCTTAAGGCTTTTGATGGATGATGTAGCAAAGGCTATAAACTATTCATTTGTGTATAGACTGTCCAACTGTTGGCATTGACTGCATGGTCCGGTGTCCATCGTGTAACCATGACCTTTCAAAATGCTCATAAGTTGTATAGATTCAAACTACCAAAGTTATTAAGTTTGATGACATAATTTGGAGATGATCCCAGGACATGTTTGGAGAGCATTGGTTGATGATGATAACCCTGAATCCCATACTTTTAAAATTAGTAGCAATATATTCAATGATGTTTGCTGGTAACTTTGTTTTTGGTGATAGATTCATTGTTTGTTAACATTACTAAATAGAAATAAAACATGTATATATCAAACAGCTGGTGTTTCTTGTTCGATACGTCGATACTCATCAACGTATATCAACAGTGCACAACTGGTTCAAAATCAGAATAGGGCGAGTCCCTGTGTATACTGAGTACCTGTGGCCTTCAAACACTTATGTTGACAGTTTAGTAATACTGAGTTGCCAGATGATGTAACAGCACTTCACAATGACCATGAAGAGAAGATCAGTTAAAAGTGACGTTGAGGAAAGTTCTGACGACAGTTCTTCCGATAGTGATTTTGTTCCGTTGGACTCTTCCGATTCTGAATCTGCAGAAAACTGATGATGATCATCCATTGGTCGAACCACAAGTTTATCTTGGAAAAAATGAAGGAAGATGGTCGAACACAAGTCCTGGATCTAGTCGTTCTCCTCAACGAACTATCATCCATGGTCGAACACAAGTCCTGGATCTAGTCGTTCTCCCCAACGAACTATCATCCATGGTCGAACACAAGTCCTGGATCTAGTCGTTCTCCCCAACGAACTATCATCCATGGTCGAACACAAGTCCTGGATCTAGACGTTCTCCCCAACGAACTATCATCCATGGTCGAACACAAGTCCTGGATCTAGTCGTTCTCCCCAACGAACTATCATCCATGGTCGAACACAAGTCCTGGATCTAGTCGTTCTCCTCAACGAACTATCATCCATGGTCGAACACAAGTCCTGGATCTAGTCGTTCTCCTCAACGAACTATCATCCATGGTCGAACACAAGTCCTGGATCTAGTCGTTCTCCTCAACGAACTATCATCCATGGTCGAACACAAGTCCTGGATCTAGTCGTTCTCCCCAACGAACTATCATCCATGGTCGAACACAAGTCCTGGATCTAGTCGTTCTCCCCAACGAACTATCATCCATGGTCGAACACAAGTCCTGGATCTAGTCGTTCTCCCAACGAACTATCATCCATGGTCGAACACAAGTCCTGGATCTAGTCGTTCTCCCCAACGAACTATCATCCATGGTCGAACACAAGTCCTGGATCTAAGAACACAAGTCCTGGATCTAGTCGTTCTCCCCAACGAACTATCATCCATGGTCGAACACAAGTCCTGGATCTAGTCGTTCTCCCAACGAACTATCATCCATGGTCGAACACAAGTCCTGGATCTAGTCGTTCTCCCCAACGAACTATCATCCATGGTCGAACACAAGTCCTGGATCTAGAACAACGAACTATCATCCATGGTCGAACACAAGTCCTGGATCTAGAGTCGTTCTCCCCAACGAACTATCATCCATGGTCGAACACAAGTCCTGGATCTAGTCGTTCTCCCCAACGAACTATCATCCATGGTCGAACACAAGTCCTGGATCTAGACGTTCTCCCCAACGAACTATCATCCATGGTCGAACACAAGTCCTGGATCTAGTCGTTCTCCCCAACGAACTATCATCCATGGTCGAACACAAGTCCTGGATCTAGTCGTTCTCCCCAACGAACTATCATCCATGGTCGAACACAAGTCCTGGATCTAGTCGTTCTCCCCAACGAACTATCATCCATGGTCGAACACAAGTCCTGGATCTAGTCGTTCTCCCCAACGAACTATCATCCATGGTCGAACTGGATGAAGTCCTGGATCATCCATGGTCGAACACAAGTCCTGGATCTAGTCGTTCTCCCAACGAACTATCATCCATGGTCGAACACAAGTCCTGGATCTAGTCGTTCTCCCCAACGAACTATATCATCCATGGAACTATCATCCGAACACAAGTCCTGGATCTAGACGTTCTCCCCAACGAACTATCATCCATGGTCGAACACAAGTCCTGGATCCTGGATCATAGTCGTTCTCCTGGATCTAACGAACTATCATCCATGGTCGAACACAAGTCCTGGATCTAGTCGTTCTCCCCAACGAACTATCATCCATGGTCGAACACAAGTCCTGGATCTAGTCGTTCTCCCCAACGAACTATCATCCATGGTCGAACACAAGTCCTGGATCTAGTCGTTCTCCCCAACGAACTATCATCCATGGTCGAACACAAGTCCTGGATCTAGTCGTTCTCCCCAACGAACTATCATCCATGGTCGAACACAAGTCCTGGATCTAGTCGTTCTCCCCAACGAACTATCATCCATGGTCGAACACAAGTCCTGGATCTAGTCGTTCTCCTCAACGAACTATCATCCATGGTCGAACACAAGTCCTGGATCTAGTCGTTCTCCCCAACGAACTATCATCCATGGTCGAACACAAGTCCTGGATCTAGTCGTTCTCCCCAACGAACTATCATCATCCATGGTCGTTCTCCCAACGAACTATCAAGTCCTGGATCTAGTCGTTCTCCCAACGAACTATCATCCATGGTCGAACACAAGTCCTGGATCTAGTCGTTCTCCCCAACGAACTATCATCCATGGTCGAACACAAGTCCTGGATCTAGTCGTTCTCCCCAACGAACTATCATCCATGGTCGAACACAAGTCCTGGATCTAGTCGTTCTCCCCAACGAACTATCATCCATGGTCGAACACAAGTCCTGGATCTAGTCGTTCTCCCAACGAACTATCATCCATGGTCGAACACAAGTCCTGGATCTAGTCGTTCTCCCCAACGAACTATCATCCATGGTCGAACACAAGTCCTGGATCTAGACGTTCTCCCAACGAACTATCATCCATGGTCGAACACAAGTCCTGGATCTAGTCGTTCTCCCCAACGAACTATCATCCATGGTCGAACACAAGTCCTGGATCTAGACGTTCTCCCCAACGAACTATCATCCATGGTCGAACACAAGTCCTGGATCTAGTCGTTCTCCAGATTCGCAAAAGTCAAACTGCCACCGATCAGAGATTTCTGGGATGAGTTTGAAAATGCTCTGAGGAAACATTTTATTCCGGGTGAAAACCTTACTGTAGACGAGCATCTTGTACAGTTCCGTGGTCAATGTTTGTTCATCCAGTACACGCCAGCAAAACCAGACAAGTACATTGCTTCACCACAAAAATATAGATCAAACGGTGGCCACTGGTGATGTTTCTGAACATGTTCGATCTGGTTGACATAGCTTCACACACAACATGGGGATTGAAGTTTCCAGAGATATGGATTATGAGTCGGATGTTCCTGCAAACTGTTGCACACAATACACACACATTCACCCTACACAGTACATAAACATCCTCCAAACACGACACACATGTATCCACCAGACACACTACATATGCATCCACCACACACACACTACACATACAACCACCACACAAACAATACACATACATCCACTACACACACACTACACATGCATCCACCACACACTACTCATATATCCACCACACACACAATACACAAACATCCACCACACACAATACACATACATCCACCACACACACTACACATACATCCACCACACACAATGCACATACATTAAACACACACAATACACATGCATCCATCACACACACACTACACATACATCCACGACACACACAATACACGTACATCCACCACACACTATACATACAACCACCATACACACACTACACATACATCCACCACACACACAATACACATACATCCACCACACACACAATACACATACATCAATCACACAAACAATACACATACATCCACCACACACACGCTACACATACATCCACCACACAATACACATACGTCCACCACACACGGTACACATACATCCACCACACACTACACATACATCCACCACACCCTACACATACATCCACCACACCCACTACACATACATCCACCGCACACACACTACACCAGGCGGTGGGGTAGCCTAGTTGGTAAAGCGTTGTCTAGTCACGGCAAAGATCCGGGTTCGATTCTCCACATGAGTACAATATGTGAAGCCCATTTCTGGTGTCCCCCCGCCGTGATGTTGCTGGAACATTGCTAAAAGAGGCGTAAATCCAAACTCACTCAGTCACTCAAACACTACACATACATTCACCACACACACACTACAAATACATCCACCACACAAACACTACACATACATCCACCACACAATACACATACATCTACCACACACTACATACCACACAATACACATACATCCAACACACACAATACGTATACACTTATATACGTAAAGACTTGAACTACCACTGTAGTGGTAACACAATGATAGCAAAGATCATGGTGAGGTGAACATTCAGTTTAATGATTTAAATGTCAATGACAATATGTATTTATAATTTATCATTCTTGTTGGTGAATTGGGAGAGAGAGAGTTTATTTCGCATAATGGCCTCATGGCCCAGAGTACAAAAAATACATGTTTGCATACAATACATATACATAAATATAATGCATCAATATATAGCAGTCAGACAGATAGGTTTTTCTGTTCAGATAGATTGCTAGACTTTTAATAAAATTCATATTGTTTGTTTATAACAAGTGCTTCAACTTAAATACAGATGGATTTATATGATTATACCCGGGAATAAGCTGCATCCTACTTGTATGATAGTAAGGACATACTAATAGAAAGTGGTATTCATCCTCTACGACATCTAAATGACACTTGCTACATATTGCTATAGTATCGTCTACATTGTCTTTATTGGAACGCAACTGTTGGACACCCAATTTGTGCGATAAGCAACGAAATTTACATAAAATGCGCCTCAAGTCTCTATTAGTGTACAACGCAGTTATGTACTCTTCTGTTTCCAAAACTGACTTGTACGATGAATAAACTTTCAGGAAGGAAATACTACCAATATCACTGCTCCAAGTTTGGAGACAGATATCCCTGCAGCGTTGCTTAAACGGTGCCATAAACACTTCTACGCCGCCAAATTCTTGTGTAATCCACACAAACATGAACGAACATGAGAGACCCAGTTGACATTTCCATTTTCATCAAAGACTTTTAGCATTTCATAACAAGCCCGAGGATACCTATGGCTACTCATTCTCACTAGTCTACATCAGTACCTGATACAACGATTAAAATAATTAACAGACATTTGATATCTGCCCAACTCCCCTAAAACAGCTTTTGTAGACACAAATTTTCCTAACCCTAAATACTTCTTGAAGAAGCCCTGAAGCTTTTCAGTATCTGCTCTATATATATGTCCCCAAATTTCGGCGCCAGAGAGCAAAATAGGTGCTATTTTCGTGTTAAATATGTTTTTAGCCATTTCATGAGGTGCGCCATACTTTATCAACATCTGTTTGACAGGAAAGCTCGCTTTCATTGCGGTTAACGACAGGGTTTCACAAGCTTTAGACCATACTAGCCTTGAGGAAAATACGACAACCAAATACTTATAGTAGCTAACAACGTTAATTTCAACTTGTAGTTCTAAGATAACCACCATTTCTAAAGACAATGATTTGAGACTTATCTCAATTCACCTCCAAACCCCATTTCAAACAGAATTTATGTAGGAAATCTAAGTTTCGTTTCAGCCCTACGACAGAATCATCTACCAGAGTGATATCATCGGCAAAGAGCAGCAGTAATATGTTGTCCAGTTCCGATTGGACAAATATAACCCTTATACCACTATTTTGCTTTTCCTCTACTAACTCATTTATAAGAAAATATAAACAATACCGGACTTAACATACACACTCTGACGCCATGTGAAGTTGTGAATATATCCGACCTGTCACTACCAATTCGGACGCAGGCTTTGGCCTTATTATAGTTGTCTCTTAAAAGCCTAAAGATCTTACCATGAACACCTTTACTTAACAGTACATACAATAGCTTATCTCTATATACGAAAGTCAAAAGCCGTACAAAAATCAATAAATAAGGCATAACACCTATGACCAGGTTTCCTTAGATACTTTTGAACAAGCGACTGTAGAATAAAAATATTATCAAATGTTGAATAGTTATTTCTAAAACCTGCCTGTGACTCGTGTAGAGTTTTGTTCAGGTCAAGCCAAACTCGAATACGTGAATCTAGAATACTAGTGAATATTTTACCCATTACACTTAATAAGGAAATTCCCCTGTAGTTGTTTGGGTTTTGCCTATCGCCCTTCTTATACAAAGGCACAATGACTCCAACATTCCAACTCTCTGGAAAAATCCCACTATCTAGCACTGCATTAAATAACATTTCTAAATATAGGACAATCATTGGAAGAAACTTAAAAAACACCATCCATGCCAGGAGCCTTTCCATTGCCTTCTATTACCTTCATAATTTCATCCTGATTAATATGATCTGATCACTTGTTGTTGAAATATCATATTGAAAAATCATTACATGTCATTAGCTTAAGCAGCCCACTAGACGTCTGACACAAACAAGACTACTCAGTCTTTGTCCTTGATAAGTTCTGGTCTGAGGTTACACAGGGCTGCACACATCTTGACTATCTTTTATAAACCTATCTCCGTTTTGTCTGTAGTAGAGTAGCTTCCTTCCAGAATCAGGAAGACCTCTGCTGTGACTTTGCAGAGTTTCGAAACCTAATATCAGGTTAAATTTCAACCATTTCATAACTTTAGTTACGATTGATACAACATTGTCTTGCTATCACTGATCGTAAAATATCACATTATTGAAAACTTCCAGTATATAGTGGCGATAACTGGTTTCGACCCCGCAACCCTTCGCTCTCTAGCTTGGCGGTTTTATGAATCATGTGTTCCTCACAAAACGGGTACTGCGGCAGCGCACGTGCAGGACACGGAATGCGCGTGCGAGGAAAGGTGTTGGCTGCCAGTCGCATCCCAGTTGACACCGGCTATTCCATCATTTGCGGGCTGTTCCATCAATGTTGTTCTGCTCAGTACAGGTACACAAACATTGTCACAAATTGATCATAATACATATTTGTGTTTTACGTTCAGGACGGTTCATAAGTCGGATATAACACGACTCCGAGGTTTTGGTAGCAAATGTAAACCCTTGGAGTCGGGATTTTCCCTCCTCCGCGGGGTTACCTTTGCTACCAAGACCTCGGAGTCGTGTTTTATCCTTTACATCCAAGTTTTGAACAGAATTCAGTGGTAGAACCTGACTCAATATTCTGTAAGACTTCAACCTGCCAATTGCTCTTTCTACATGCATTCTTACAGATGCAATTAAAGTATTCATTATAGTCCATTGCTTATTATAAAGCCGCTATCTGCCATTACCTCATCACCAGGTAACAAGTAGTTTAGGAAACCCGAGTTCTTGGTGATATACACATCTCGTGCACGACCGCCATAGCATCTTGAAACATACATAATATACCCATTGGGAGCAATCTTATATATGTACTGTGGGTTTGAGCTCTAACCTTCAATGAAAATGGACGTTGCAAGAAAATGTCTGAACAATCAATAATGCAGGTGGTGTGTGCATAGGTACTGGGGAAAAGTCTCAAAGCCTTCATACTGGCTTGGATGGGTTGAAACAAGGCTGCCTCTGTGAAATAATTGGTAAACTCTATGAGATACGAGGGGTTGCCAATCACTACAATAGACGTGTCGGTTTGAGGTCTTGACTTGTTTTAACATATGTAGAAAAGACTAATAATAATACTTTATTACCCCGAAGGAACATGTTTTACATGTAACAGACAGAGCTATACAATGAACACACATGATACACAAACACAACAATATACACAGTGAACATATTGAAATCTGTTCAATTGGCATTTAGAAGTTGGCGACTAATAAGAAAGTAATATTCTTTATGGATAACAACTTCTTTTATTATATATGATTCAGGTGGTGTGTGCATAGGTTATATGTTATGCATGTATGCATACCTGTACGTGTTAACTTCAAATGTATACGGTTATATGTGTGTACATACTGTAAGTTTACAATGTTTTTATTGGTTTTAAATAGTCTCTTATAACCTAACGGATGGTTTCTGTACTTTTAAACTCTCCCAAAAAGCTTGCATTATATGACAATGTACAGAAAGTGAGACTCAAATAGACACTTATCTCTCTCTTAAAGGATATTGGCATTGCAGACCGAATAACATCTCTTGGGAGCCAAACAATGCAATTCTTTAGTTTTCTGGCTAAAATTGAGATACAAACTCCAAACATTTAACTTGCCTGGAAATTGTCTGAAAATTGAAAATCTTTTCCCGAGATCATGAAACCGAAGTCCAAGCCTAAGTCTCATAAGTTTGAGTAGTGTTTGATTTGGGAGTAGCATCAGATGTAAGATAAGTTATTAATGACAGAAACACTTGGAGAGTAAGACCAGTGTAAAACACAGAATCAGTGTCAGCCTTAATACTGTCTGCAGAAAAGGCAGGAAAATTAACCTGAAAAGAGACATTCTTTGTTTTGGTCGTGTAGTGCTTGGTTGCATAATGGTGATCTACTGACATGTTTAAATCAACCTGTACTCCTACAGTTCTGTTTTGAACTTTTTCATAGGTCTGTGAAGACAAAAACAAGAGTTAATCGTTGTGTCATCGTTAAATATACAGAGATTATTTTGTTATTTGACTGTTCAATATTAAAAGACGGGGGTATATACAAGCTGCACAATGTCAGCGCAATGTGCTTAGTCAGACGAACAGCAACAGTTTGAAGATTCGTATTTAGAGTGACAGGGCTATGCATGACGCTCTGATGAACACAAATAGTAGCTCCTCCAGCTGCTCGATCCCCCGGAGGAGAAAAAGAGTGATAATCGTTGTACTGTCTCAAAGGAAAGGTATCAGTATTTTTAGATATGTCTCTGGAGACATAATGCTGATGGCTAAAAGTCCTGAATCAGCAATTGTACCTCACTGAAATTAATTTTCCAGTCCTCTACAATTCCACTGCAGTAAATGTGACAACTGAGTCATGGTGGCTGAGTTGGCGATCTTTCACGTGAATGTGAGGAGGAACTATTCTTCCAGCCGTCCTGTGAGGACAGAGTAATCGCCATTTCCAGAGGTTCAAATGAGTTCTGTAACGGAACCTCTGGAGGTGAAGGGATAGTAGTCGTGTCTTTTCTATTAAGTTTTTTCCTTTCTTTTTTGTTGAGTGACTAACAGCTGGCTGTTTGGTAGACGCTTGTGACTGTATCTCAGGATGATTCATCAATGACCCATGTCATGTCAGTTTGACAAGACACAGATGATTTTGCCACAGATATTGCAGCAGAGTAAGATATTGTAGTCGCTGGAGTTGCTGACTGAGTTTGAAACAGATGTTTTGCCTCTTGATAGGAAAATATTTTTCTGCCATTTTATGAAAGCTAATGAAAACCCCGATAATGAATGTCCACTTTTGTTGTTTTAATAATATATCAATGTTGGTGCTTGTTGCGTATTAATTAGGCCCTTCTTTTCATTATCATGTTTTTCTATATTTCTCACGTTTGTCGGTTACTCGCTATATTCGTTATCACCTCTTTATATACTGAGAGAAACAAATGAAGGATGACAGGAAACTTCAAGCGTTCGAATTCCTTTATTATTTTCCAGTTTTCATCACCACAGCGCTATTCAAAGCTGGTGATAAAAACTGGAAAATATTAAAGGAAGAGTTGAATTGTCCTGCGATCCTTTATTTGTTTCGCTTAGTTTATGGATGAATCGATTGGTAATGCTTTTACCAGTGAGACAGATACTGCCGGGTGGCCCCGTGGTTTGAGCGTACACTGGTCGCGAATACCTTTCCTGGGCGTACCATGATCATTAAACAGTTGAAGAATGTGAACATTTCACACCTCTCCTACCGAGTGGCTATATAGCGTGACAAACTTCATATTGCCATGGTAACTTCACATCTACGTCGCTCTCATAAAACATAAATCAGTTCGTCTTTTCATGGATTTCAAAGATGGCATCAGCATCGGCAGAATCTCCTAACAAGGACCAAAGTAACAACATGACTTTCAACTTAATAGTCATGGGGGCCACTTCCGTGGGAAAAACGTCTCTGATAAATCAGTTTGTCCAGGGTAAGAATAAAAGCCCTTCAACGGAAAACACAAAAGACTTCTACAGCTGCAAAATTACAGACGGAGATTTGAATGTGTGTGTAGATATTTTGGACACGCATGGAGACTTAGAGTTTCCTCAAATGATGAAGCTGGCCATACAAACGGGGGACGCCTTTGTGCTGGTGTATGCCGTGGATGACAAGACGTCCTTTCAAAGGGTCTGCTGCATCAGGGACATGGTGCTTAAGTGGAAGAGCAAAGAGAAGAAGGTAAACAGATATATTACAATTAGGTGATAACCTTGTTCAATTTAGACTTTACGAACGGAGATAAATATTACATTTACTAGGTTATGGTAGCTAAATGCAATCATGTTAATCTACATCAACAGCGGACCTGCTACATGACGTGGGTTTCATCCGTGAGCTTGACTCATTCCCATGTTGCTTTAGAAGCTCATAATGTTGTCCACAACACAGGTGTCAAAACATGTTATACCGTAGTTCGTCTTGAAACATACAATACATTCTTTTTGTCGGTCTTCTCTTTTGTTTATGTCTAAAATGTAGTGTTACACTTACCTATTTCCATGAGCGAAAATACGCCATTTTGCACCCTCAAGTAAGTTACTACTGTGTTCACGTTGAATTTTCGAAAGAAATGCTTCACGTGAATTACTTCTCTGGTAGCAATGTGGTAATCAGCAAAATCGTGATCGAACTGAAGATTCGATACCGCTGAAGGACCAACGTCACAGGGGCAGTGGGGTAGCCTAATGGTTAAAAACTCGGGTTCGATACCCCACATGGGAACAATGTGTGAAGCCCATTTCTGGTGTCTCCAGCCGTGATATTGCTAAAAGCGGCGTAAAATCACTCACTCAAACGTGACAATATACAATAATTGAATAATTAGGCACTTATGCACCTTTTAACAAAACTGAATGTGTATGAAAACTATGTCCAATGTGGCACTGCTGACTACACAAGTTTATCATGGCGAGAAATACCAGGAGAGGTGTGACCTCCAATCAATAGCGTGATGGCATGCAGCTTATTCGAAATTTTGGCTTAAAATCTTTTGGGCTAATGACCGCTCACATACTTGCTAATGGAGGATCGGATATCAGAATATGGGAAGTTTGTGCTTGCAGTGCACTTTTGGCGAAGCAAATATGAATGAATCTGCATTTGAATGATCTCGGGTGTATATCTGCCGTAAAAATCGATCTTCCACAGGATAGTCTTAAGGACAAAGTGCCATTGTGAGAAACAGCAGCAACTGATACCTTTTCACTATCTTTTGATAATCAGAACCGCCATATAGCATTCAGTGATATATTGTATTGCCAGTATTATTCGTCTTAAACAAAGACAGGTTCATTTATCTCCAGGTAGAGGCTGTCAATTTGGGTGGTTCTAAATGCCCCAAGACAAATCCAAGTCCCTGAGAATGATTTACCAGCTGAACCCGCACATGAAACAACCATAATCGTGTTATGACATTGTCATACACCTGTGAATATTTAGCAGTCTTCCTTTATCTCTACACCATTAAGCTCTTAGTACCACCTTTAAGATATCCAACACTTTCAAACATCTGAGCTATAAGACTTTCAATATGAGATAAAAAATTGTTTTTAGCAAAGGTAATTTCCCCAAACTTGGCTTCTGTTACTACTTAAATTGGAGTATTATTCAAAGTAAATACTGGATCTGTATGTGAGTGAGTGAGTGAGTTTAGTTTTACTCCTGGATCTGTATGTAGTTTACCTTGTTTCAAAAATGAATACAGCTGGTATGGAAAACGTAAAAGGGTTTAAAGTCGTCTACCCCGGCTTCATTAATCGATTGTGTGAAAGCCATTGTAAGTTTGTCAACCTACTGGAAATAACTAACTTGATGAAAACCAGCATGGCTGTCCTCGGGCATTCCTCTTACTCCTTTTCTCACTTTAAACCCAACTCATTCCCTCAGGCAGATATACCCATTAGAATGGTATCTTAAATTATGTTGCTTGTTGTTTTAGAACACCATAATCGTCGTCGTTTGTAACAAGATGGATCTTGATGTCCCCAACCGTAGTCCTCCGAAGGAAGTCGCGGAAACTGTGGTGGAGAGGGACTGGGGTCAAAGCCACATGGAAATCACCACCAGGGACAAAGACGCCGTCGACAAGGTTTTCAAAGAAGTGATCCAACGACACATATGGGCATGTGGCGGCAGTGCTGCGTCAGGACAACGGAAAATGACCTCTCCTGTTGAAATGATCCACAAACTACGAAGGAGGCTTACACTAAGAAGGCTAAAGCCATCTTCTTAACCGACAGGGCTTGCAGTTTGTTGTCGGCAGTGATGTATTCTGGGTACTGACCCTATTCATGTAGACTGATGATCAGGCTAATGATCCTATTAATGCATACGGTGATACGTTCAGGGTAGTGATCCTATACACCCAGACGGTGATACATTCAGGGTATTGACCCTATTAATGCATACGGTGATGTATTCAGGGTATTGATTCTATTAATGCATACGGTGACGCATTCAGGGTATTGACCTTATTAATGCATACGGTGATACATTCAGGGTATTGACCCTATTAATGCATACGGTGATGCATTCAGGGTATTGATCCTATACACCCAGACGGTGATACATTCAGGGTATTGATCCTATACACCCAGACGGTGATACATTCAGGGTATTGACCCTATCAAGGTAGACGGTGATACATTCAGAGTATTGACATTATTAATGCATACGGTGATGCTTTCAGGGTATTGATCCTATACACCCAGACGGTGATACATTCAGGGTATTGACCCTATCAAGGTAGGCGGTGATGCATTCAGGGTATTGACCCTATTAATGCATACGGTGATACATTCAGGGTATTTATGCTTTACACCCAAACGGTGATACATTCAGGGCATTGGCCCTATTAATGCATACGGTGATGCATTCAGGGTATTGACCCTATCAAGGTAGACGGTGATACATTCATGGTATTGACCCTATTAATGCATACGGTGATGCATTCAGGGTATTGATCCTATTAACCCATACGGTGATGCATTCAGGGTATTGACCCTATTAATGCAGACGGTGATGCATTCAGGGTATTGACCCTATTAATGCATACGGTGATACATTCAGGGTATTGATCCTATACACCCAGACGGTGATACATTCAGGGTATTGACCCCATTAATGCATACGGTGATGCATTCAGGGTATTGACCCTATTAGTAGACGGTGATGCATTCATGGTATTGACCCTATTAATGCATACGGTGATGCATTCAGGGTATTGATCCTATACACCCAGACGGTGATACATTCAGGGTATTGACCCTATCAAGGTAGACGGTGATGCATTCAGGGTATTGACCCTATTAATGCATACGGTGATACATTCAGGGTATTGATCCTATACATCCAGACGGTGATGCATTCAGGGTATTGGCCCTATTAATGCATACGGTGATGCATTCAGGGTATTGACCCTATCAATGTAGACGGTGATGCATTCAGGGTATTGACCCTATTAATGCATACGGTGATGCATTCAGGGTATTGACCCTATTAATGTAGACGGTGATGCATTCAGGGTATTGACCCTATCAAGGCAGACGGTGATGCATTCAGGGTATTGACCCTATTAATGCATACGGTGATACATTCAGGGTATTGATCCTATACATCCAGACGGTGATGCATTCAGGGTATTGATCCTATTAATGCATACGGTGATGCATTCAAGGTATTGACCCTATCCTATCAGGGATTGACCTATTAATGCATACGGTGATGCATTCAGGTATTGACCCTATTAATGCATACGGTGATGCATTCAGGGTATTGACCCTATTAATGCAGACGGTGATGCATTCAGGTATTGTATTGTAGACCATGACCATATCAAGGCAGACGGTGATGCATTCAGGGTATTGACCCTATTAATGCATACGGTGATGCATTCAGGGTATTGGCCATATTAATGAATACGGTGATGAATTCAGGGTATTGACCCTATTAATGCATACGGTGATACATTCAGGGTATTGATCCTATACATCTAGACGGTGATGCATTCAGGGTATTGGCCCTATTAATGCATACGGTGATACATTCAGGGTATTGATCCTATACATCCAGACGGTGATGCATTCAGGGTATTGATCCTATTAATGCATACGGTGATGCATTCAGGGTATTGACCCTATCAAGGTAGACGGTGATACATTCAGGGTATTGAACGTATTAATGCATAGAGTGATGCATTCAGGGTATTGATCCTATACACCCAGACGGTGATACATTCAGGGTATTGACCCTATCAATGTAGACGGTGATGCATTCAGGGTATTGACCCTATCAATGCAGACGGTGATGCATTCAGGGTATTGGCCCTATTTAAGCATACGGTGATACATTCAGGGTATTGACCTATTAATGCATACGGTGATACATTCATGGTATTGATCCTATACACGCAACCCTATTAAACGGTGATACATTCAGGGCATTGGCCCTATTAATGCATTCAGTGATACATTCAGGATATTGACCCTATTAATGCATACGGTGATGCATTCAGGGTATTGACCTCATTAATGCATACGGTGACATTCAGGATATTGATCCTATTAATGCATACGGTGATACATTCAGGGTATTGGCCCTATTAATGCATACGGTGATGCATTCAGGGTATTGGCCCTATCAAGGTAGACAGTGATACATTCAGGGTATTGACCCTATTAATGCATACGGTGATGCATTCAAGGTATTGATCCTATACACGTAGATGGTGATACATTCAGGGCATTGACCCTATCAAGGTAGACGGTGATGCATTCAGGGTATTGACCCTATTAATGCATACGGTGATACATTCAGGGTATTGATCCTATACATCCAGACGGTGATGCATTCAGGGTATTGATCCTATTAATGCATACGGTGATGCATTCAGGGTATTGACCCTATCAATGCAGACGGTGATGCATTCAGGGTATTGACCCTATTAATGCATACGGTGATGCATTCAGGGTATTGACCCTATTAATGCAGACGGTGATGCATTCAGGGTATTGACCCTATTCAATCCAGACGGTGATGCATTCAGGGTATTGACCCTATTAATGCATACGGTGATGCATTCAGGGTATTGACCCTATTAATGCATACGGTGATGCATTCAGGGTATTGACCCTATTAATGCATACGGTGATGCATTCAGGGTATTGACCCTATTAATGCAGACGGTGATGCATTCAGGGTATTGATCCTATTAATGCATACGGTGATACATTCAGGGTATTGACCCTATTCATCCAGACGGTGATGCATTCAGGGTATTGACCCTATCAATGCAGACGGTGATGCATTCAGGGTATTGACCCTATTAATGCATACGGTGATACATTCAGGGTATTGACCTATTCATCCATACGGTGATGCATTCAGGGTATTGACCCTATTAATGCATACGGTGATACATTCAGGGTATTGATCCTATACATCCAGACGGTGATGCATTCAGGGTATTGGCCCTATTAATGCATACGGTGATACATTCAGGGTATTGATCCTATACATCCAGACGGTGATGCATTCAGGGTATTGATCCTATTAATGCATACGGTGATGCATTCAGGGTATTGACACTATCAAGGTAGACGGTGATACATTCAGGGTACTGAACGTATTAATGCATAGAGTGATGCATTCAGGGTATTGATCCTATACACCTAGACGGTGATACATTGAGGGTATTGACCCTATCAATGTAGACGGTTATGCATTCAGGGTATTGACCCTATCAAGGTAGACGGTGATGCATTCAGGGTATTGGCCCTATTTAAGCATACGGTGATGCATTCAGGGTATTGACCTATTAATGCATACGGTGATACATTCATGGTATTGATCCTATACACCCAAACGGTGATACATTCAGGGCATTGGCCCTATTAATGCATACAGTGATGCATTCTGGGTATTGACCCTATTAATGCATACGGTGATGCATTCAGGGTATTGATCCTATACACCCAGACGGTGATACATCCAGGGCATTGACCCTATCAAGGTAGACGATGATACATCCAGGGTATTGACTCTATTAATGCATACGGTGATGCATTCAGGGTATTGGCCATATTAATGAATACAGTGATGAATTCAGGGTATTGACCCTATTAATGCATACGTGATACATTCAGGGTATTGATCCTATACATCGAGACGGTGATGCATTCAGGGGTATTGATCCTATTAATGCATACAGTGATGCATTCAGGGTATTGACCCTAACAATGTAGACAGTGATGCAATCAGGTATTGACCCTATTAATGCATACGGTGATGCATTCAGGGTATTAACCCTATTAATGTAGCCGGTAATGCATTCAGGGTATTGACCCTTTCAAGGTAGACGGTGATGCATTCGGGGTATTGACCCCATTAATGCATAGGGTGATGCATTCAGGGCATTGGCCCTATTAATGCATACGGTGATACATTCAGGGTATTGATCCTATACATCCAGACGATGATGCATTCAGGGTATTGGCCCTATTAATGCATACGGTGATACATTCAAGGTATTGATCCTATACACCCAGACGGTGATACATTCAGGGTATTGACCCTATTAATGCAGACGCTGATACATTCAGGGTATTGATCCCATACATCCAGAAGGTGATGCATTCAAGGTATTGGCCCTATTAATGCATACGGTGATACATTCAGGGTATTGATCCTATACATCCAGACGGTGATGCATTCAAGGGTATTGATCCTATTAATGCATACGGTGATGCATTCAAGGTATTGACCCTATCAATGTAGACGGTGATGCAATCAGGGATTGACCCTATTAATGCATACGGTGATGCATTCAGGGTATTGACCCTATTAATGTAGACGGTTATGCATTCAGGGTATTGACCCTATCAATGTAGACGATGCAATCAGGTATTGACCCTAGTAATGCATACTGTGATGCATTCAGGGTATTGACCGTATTAATGTAGACGGTTATGCATTCAGGGTATTGACCCTATCAAGGTAGACGGTGATGCATTCAGAGTATTGACCCTATTAATGCATAGGTTGATGCATTCAGGGTATTGACCCTATTAATGCATACGGTGATACATTCAGGGTATCGGCCCTATTGGCCCTATTAATGCATACGATGATGCATTCAGGGTATTGATTCTATTAATGCATACGTTGATGCACTCAGGGGTATTGACCTCATTCATCCAGACGGTGATACATCCAGTGAATTGATCCTATTAATGC